GAATTTACGAAAACCCGTTTTCTAACAGTACCAGTTTTGAGCGCTTCACCGTTTACCGTATTCTACACAATGCTGCTTTACATCTCAATCAAATGCATAAGCCATCTTACTGCCGGCCTCCCCATTAAACTTCTACTCCTAACTTCCTGAAATTTTATCGAAACATTCTTGAGTATCGTCTCTATTATCATATCTGATTATTTTTCAAAATTTTACGACATGTCTTCCAGGCCCCGCCGAATTCTCCAACCGTTGGATCAGGCGAGAGCCAAAGCGCATGAGCTTGAATTAAAAACTACTTTATATCTTCCGCCAGTTGTTCTTCCAACCACTAAGAAATATCTGAAGTTGGAAAAGCAATGGAGGGAGTAAGTTTGCCTACCTATGCGTTATCTTTATAAAAAGTACATTAACAAAATTAGATTTCATAAATATATTGCAGAGGATCCCGAACGATGTTTGCAGTTGCGAGAAGCAATGCCTTCTAAAGGTCGTTTGAAATATTTCATGGAATGGCTGTATCAAACCTCAGTCGGTATTTTACAGGAAAAGATCTCTTTTGCAACCTTGAAAAACTTATGGTATTGTTTTCGTGCAATGTATGAAAGAGCAACAGCAATTAAGATATCCGACGAAGTTGGCGATGAAATCAGCTTCCTCCATCGTTTTCATTCCGATATGATGAGATGTGAAAATGAATGAAGTACCAAGGTCGAGATGGAGAAAGTCTGTTTCCACGAAGGCCAAACTACAATAAGAATCCAGACTGACTTGCAAGTGCGAACTGAGCGCAGGAATAGCATTCAAACACAAGTCTGTCATTTACGCGTGGTTCTATTACCATACTTCCCGCTGTGTCTTGAACCCTGTAAGCTGCTACATCCTATCTACATAACCTCAGCCAAATCAAAGCAATTAATCCCTACCCCCGCAACTATTTCATATGTGATGATCTCTTCCGACTTCTTGGATTCCCTACTGAAGAATTCAACACCATATCTGCATACCATATGCCTTTTTCCTTAGAAATAAGGTTTGGTGTGTTATCTTTAAAATTAGACACTTGCTGTCCAGCCTTTCTGATGGCGTTTATAAGGGGTCATTCTAGGTCACTAAACTTCGGAAAATATAAACTTGAAGTCTATGGCGATCCTTCGCGTAGATCTCTATCAAAGGAGCAGAATTACTTCGCCGACCTGATTAATTGTACCAATAGATACCCCTGAATATAAGCGAACCTCATCACGTATCTCTCACACTTTAATGTTCATGATATACTACACCAGTACATGAGCAGGCAGTGTATTTGACCACTCATCAGTCCAAGATTGTTGTGTTACCAAATACAGGGTCAAGAGCCAATTTGACCCAAGCGTAAGAGAACATGCCCTGAACTCCGGAGTTGATTGATTGATTG